TGTATAAAACATCCTTTGAAAATACTGTCTCTTTTGACTTTGATTCTGCCTTACGTCAATTTTTTATAACAAATGAAACCCAGTACATGTGACTCTTAAATACTTGCTCTCTGATGGCCCATATGTATACCCTGGGAATCACTTATTTTGGGTTTTTTTATACTTTAACCAGACTAAAATGTCCTCCTACAGCACCTTTCTCATTTTTCATACTGAGAGGTCTGTTTTTAAATATTTAATTTGAACAGCTCTAAAATATTGGCAGTTGAAGTCACCTCTAAAGAATTTTAGGTATTTGAACATAAGTTTATTTTCTGTTAGTCAAAGACATTCTGTAAGTTGGCAAAAGAAACTGAGAAATGGGAAGCTTGATATTCAGGATAGCATTGAGGTTGACATGCTGAGAGACCCCTGTCCTGCCCTGACTGACACTGTGGTAGTCTGTTAGCTTGGCCATAGGGAGTCATTCCGTTAGCACCAGCAGTTGGAGATTTAACTTGCCAGTGCTAATGCATTTCGGTATATAATGCAAGGAACTTTATCCTTGAATTTGAGGGTGATGGGGGTGGGTCAGGAAAGGATGGCACCAGAATTCCACATGATGATGAATTTAAAATGTTGCTTTTTAGAGAACATCTGCTTCAGGTGTGTGTGGGGGAGAATCCCACGTAAAAATCTAAAAGAAAGAACTAGCCACTCTCTTTAAAACCACATATACGCAAAACAAAATAGGTCTCAGTTTTCAATGCAACATTGCAAAAAGTATATATACATGCTGCAATCTAGTAATTAAAGGAATTTTAACTCTATTATGAAACACCCATTACATTTATAAGTTAGATTATCGGTTTCTAAAGGAGTATTCAGGTTATTTAACTTTGTTTTTAAAAGGCTGCATCAGAAAAAAATGTCTATTTTTTTGAATTAAAATATTTCATCACTTGTTAAAAATGTATTTGGATCTAAGTTGGGTAAAGTATTATTTTACCTGCTGTTATACTACCACAGACTATTGGCTTTTGGTCTCCTAAAGAGAAAAATTGCCTTTTTACTAGAAAGCCTTTGTGTATTGCCAATTTTTCTATTTGGGAAAATCCAAGGATTACTGTGGTTAGTCTTACAGGAGAAATGTGGATTTGATAAACTAGTGCCTATGATTTTAACTTATGTTTGATATACAGTAGTAAGGGTTTTATGAATGTTGATTATTTTTTTGTGCCAACAACCCAGATTTGTCACTTCTATGTAAGCAGAAAGAGATGAGCTCTGCTTCTGAAGTTATTTAATTTTCTCGGTGTTTGAATGTTATTTTTTTGTGTGTTAATAAAAGTGTAAAGAATTGGAAAAAATATAAATATTCTTAACTCAAGCATTTGCTGGATCATTTTTCTACAGAACTTGTTTGTAATATGAAACACTCTCTGAAGAGTTGACTTTTTTCAGTTTTCATACCCTGGAAATCACATTTTGTAAAACTGGGGACCATTCATAATTGTCAGATACTTTTTAAAATTGTTTATCTCAATACATCACTTTTATAAAAAAGTTTTTTTGGAAGGAAATTAGATACATGTGTCCCCAGATGTTTGTATAACTCTAGAATGATCTAGACTGTGTATGTTTAAATTAACTTTTTATTGACTGTACAGACATCAGTTTTTGACATTATGCATGGTCCTTTGAGATCACATGAACTTTGATTTGCAAACATTTTATAGCCGAATTTGTATCTGTGGTTGCCTCCTTAATAAACAGCCTGACCATAATGTTTATTATTAAATTTATATTTGTTTTTCAAGTGTTTTATTAATTTCTGGGTGTGGTGAGATTCCCCCTCGCTCCTTTCCCCCCTGCCACTCGCCGCCAGTTGCTTACAATCAGTTTTAATAAATTTCTCAGTTGATTTCTTTAAACACACAAGCCCAAATCACATTTGATCTTTATGAGGTTGGAATGTATCATGTTATATTTTCTCTGTCCTGGTGATTTCATATGTAGATTACTTGGAGTAAATGTATAGTTTATTCAAAATTGGTATGTTCCTGGAACTTTTTCACCTGCTGTAAATTGATAGCTAGTTTAAAAAAAAAAAAAATTTAGCATATATGAAACAAGCAAATGCCAATTTTATAAGAGTTTCCAACAGAGCAAATATGGATATTTTGTTGATCGTGCACATCTTTTCTCTCGTGGATGAATGGGGAAAAATCAAGTACACTGTTTAATTAGTTCCCTGCCTGCCTTTTAGAAGTTTTTACTGACCTTTATGTTACAAGAATGTTAAGAGAAATGAGCCTTCATGTTTGAATTTTTCTCCCAATCCAACACAAAAACTTTTAAGAACCATTTAAAGTTGTCAAAATACTTGTCAATCAGTGAATGAGAAGTTTACTTAAACTTGTCCTCTGCCAGTGCAACAGTTGGAAACCCACGTGGGGGTCCTTGTGGAGCATTTGCTGCATCAGAATCCAGCAATGAGTCACAAACAGAAAAAACACTGGAGAAACTAACTTGGAGGGAGGTAGTGAGCAGGATGTTCACATGCGCATGAAGCCAGAGTTAGCAACCCCGAGTGCGTTGTGTATTTTGAACGATCCTAAATACAAGTCTGAGGAGACTGAAATGGCCCTCTGGTTACTGGTCTGAGGGTAGGACAGACATCACTTAATCCAACCTGGTTAGAACTATGCTGAGAGATGCCAGTTTCAAACCAGTTCCTTATCTGCACTGGGTAACTTTAACGCTTTCTCTTTAAAAAGAAGCAAAAAATAAAGTTTTATTTCTTATGATTTTGGAAGTAAGAGGGATGCATTGCTTCAAGAAAACAACCACCTGAAAATATTAAGGAATATAAAAGTGAAAATGATCCTGCATCTCACCTGGGGATCCTGCAATCTAGAAATAAATCTCTAAGTGCCGGCCTGGCATGGTTATAAAATATTAGGTGGAAGGGTGAAGAGTCTTCTGTTTAAGATGAGTACTATTTTTCACTTACAGTGCTGACGTGAGTTTGCTTTGGACAGAGGTGTGCATTAGCTGCTAACGAAAGCTTGGCACATATTTCTCATTCCCGATTGCAGATACTCCTTAGTTTAAAAAACCGTCATATATAGTTTGTATCTTTATAACATTAATTGATTTCTCCTATAAAAATTATGTTTATTACAGAAAACTAGAGAAATATGGTACATTTTAATGAAGGAAAAGCACTTAACCATGGGTAATCAATCACTTAAATTTGAGATTTTTTTTTTTATGAAGTTGGGAATCATAGTCATGGTTGACAGTGTAACTTTTTATTAAGTCTGATGTCACTGACAACTTCATTTATAGATGGATTCTGCTGCTGGGGGAAAAAGTCAGTTCCAGGAAAAGTCAAATATTAATTCCAAAACTTTACTAAACCTCTATTATCATAGTTCTCCATACACTATATTTTATTGAACTGCTCCACACAGTCTGCCAAACTGTGAATTAGTACTATTGGTTTGAATACAATTTCAATTTTAAAGCAAAATGCCTTTGGAGAAATAATAGGTACCAAAAAAAAAATGAGACAGTCTAGAGTTCTCAAATTTAGAACCGCCTGCCGGGCTGCCGGTGCGCATTTCTGCACCCGCCCCCGGAGTGCTGTTCATAAGCAGCTCTGGTCCCAGGACTACGATTCTAGGGACAGGATCCCCCGAGGGGGCGCGGGCCCTGCACCGACCGCGCCAAGGGGCTGGCGTTAAGTGAAAACCCCGCAGCTCGCAGGGAAACCGTGCGGGGCAGCGAGGGAAAGACCCCGGGCGGCGGGCGCGCCCCGCAGAAACGTGGCTCAGGCTCCTGAGGCCCCGGGTCGTTGCGGCCCCGGCGCCCCTCAGCACCTGACGAAATTCCCCCGACGGCGGAGGTTCCTTTGAGCTGAGAGTCTGTCGTTGGCCTCCAGGAGGAAGAGTCGATTTTTCCCCCAAAAAATTTTAACTGATTCATAAAATATGCACAGGAAAGTGTACAAAATGAATGTCCCGCTCGCTGAATTACCGCTGGTTACGCGCGACCAGCGCGCACGGAGCCGGGACTTCGCAGCCCCCGGAGGTCAAAGGTCACAGCCGCCCGACTTCCAGCCCCCCGGGCCGGTCGGGCCTGTTCTTGAACTTCGTGTAAGTGGAGCCGTGCACTCCGTCATTTTTCTCTGCCCATTTTGAGTAAAGGCTGAAACGGGGCTTTTCTCAGCCTCGGGCCCGCCGTGTTGCCGTCGTTCGAACGCAGCAGCTTTTCCCCCGGGGCGAGGGGCGGCGGGTGGTTTCCAGCGCGCGTCTCCTAAACAGAACGCAGCCTTGGGCGTCGGGCATCGCCCGGGGGGTCAGCCCTCAAAAGCCTTTCTCTCCCACGCACAGCGCCTAAAGCTTCTGGACAAAATGCAGGAGGCAGCTACCTGAAGACGCTGAGAAATAAGCAGAAGCCTGCAGAAGGGGCCCCGGGGTGAGCTCCCCGCCCCCCTCGGCCTGAGCCAGGGGGCACAGCTGCCATCCTGGCTCCTCTGACTCTGCAACCACAGGAAACGGGGGAAATGTATGCATGAAACACCCCAAAAGACCAGGGAGAAAGGAGCTCCTGGAAGCTCCAGCAGGTCGGGTTTTTCATTTTTCTCTCTTTTCTTCCATAACTGCTTTTCTCCCTTTCCTGCTGCTTCAAGGAGAAGAGTTTAGAAGAAGGGCTCCATTTGGGGGAGAACGGAACAATCCTGTTGCAAGAGGGTTCTTACAAATGAAACAAATCCCGGTTAACTCAACAAAATCGGCTTGGTTTCTGCAGCACCGTTGACCGTCCCCATGAAAGGCGGAGGCTCCTGGTTCCATCCCTGACTCGGTGGGGTCTGCCGAGTCCTGGATCTTGCCCAGCAGTTAGTGACGCTGATTTCACTGGTGTGGATGGAAACTGATGGAAACCGAACGTAAGATAAATGAGGAGGGAATTATTAGCCTTAAGGTTTGTTGTGTTCACTTGTGACTGTTACGATGAACCCTCTAGCCACTTTGCGGGGAAACGTGGTGAGCTCGACGTAAGAGTCCTTCATTGCTGCGTTCAGGCGTTGCCTACCCTCAAAATCCCTACCATTCCACAAACTGTCCAGGCCCTCAGCTGTGCCCACCTTAATGGCACGCCACGTTCTGTTCGCCTCATGTCTTCCGTTGGACTAGGCCTCTGTTTCCCAGGGTGGCTGTGAGTATGCAGGAGATACAGGAGAGCTATTGCCCCAATTTCCAGTTCTGGGTTTCTGGCCTGATAGGTAGTATGTTTCCAAAATCTAATCGCTGGTTTCCTTGAACCAATTTTTCTCCTATTTTCTTCAGGGGTCTCAAAAGGCTCAATTAAATCATTTCCAGAAAACATGTAGCAGACTCTTAAGTTCCTTTCCACTCGAAAATCAAGCCATCTATTTCGTGTGTAGAGATTGTTCAACTAAAGGAATAAATGTCCATTAAACTAAAAAAGACATAGAAAACTACATCCTGCAGATAAAATGTATTACAAAAATTATAAATGGTGATTTTTCAACCCTGTTGGAGGAAATCGTAAGTGCCTGGCAGAGCAGATAAGACCATCTTGGGTCAGGCCTGTGTTAGGTCCTCATTCCACCACTTCATAGCTGTGTGACCCTTATTGAGTCACTTAATTAAATTTCAGAATCTTCCTCTACCCCTGGCAAAAAGGGCTTGATCAGAAGATCTATATCATGAATTTACTATGCAGATTACAAGAGACTAATCATATAAGGAGCTTCACATAGTGTCTGGGTCTCAGTAACATTAATTATTATAATTATTAATACTAAAATAACATTTAGGAGTAATATTAATTGGTCAGTATATATTGGGCTTTGACTAATAGAACTTAATTTTCAGGGGCATATATAAGTACTCAAGAAGTCTAAATTAGGTTACTGATGGTGTTAGTTCAGTATTCAACTATAATTTCAGAGATACAAGCTCTTTCTGACTTTATGCCCCAACATCCTTAGAGTTAAGTTTTGCCTGCATTCTTGTTGCCTCATGATTCTATATGACTGCTGCAGATCCAGCCATCACATCTTTACTCAAGGCAGAGATAAGAGGGAAAGGAGCAGTGTAAGGGATATCTGCTCCCTTGCATCAAGGAAAGAAAAGCTGCCCTGGCCAGGTGGCTCAGTTGATTGGAGTGTCACCCTGTACACCAAAAGGTTGTGGGTTTGATTCCTGGTCAGGGCACATACCTAGGTTGTGGGTTCAATCCTCAGTCAGGGCGCAAACAGGAGGCAACCGATGGATGTTTCTCTCCCCCTTCCTCTCTCTCTAAAATCCATTAAAAAAACATAACCTCAGGTTAGGATTGAAAAAGAAGAAAGATAGAAAACAAAAGTTTACCAAAGGCCAAGCAGATTTCTGCTTGTATGTCATTGGCCAAAACTGTCACAAAGCATCTTCTAGCTAAGGAAGCTGGGAAATGGAATGTGTATTTAGCTGAGTACATTGCCTTCCCTAATAAATAAATTTTGGTAGTGGGAGAAAATGGGGAATAGATGTTGGATCAGCAACTAACAGGATCTGTCACAAATAAGTAAATTTTCTAAGTAATAAAAACTTACCTAAATTCCTAAAACTTTTTTAAATGTTAGTACTTTTTAAAAAAATATATCTTTATTGATTTCAGAGAGAGGAAGGGAGAGGGAGAGAAAGAGATAGAAACATCAATGATGAGAGAGTCATTGATCGGTTGCAGCCTGCAACCCGGGCATGTGCCCTGACCGGGAATTGAACCTCAATCTCCTGGATCCTAGGTCGACGCTCAACCCCTGAGCCATGCCCAGCTGGGCAATGTTAGTACTTTTTAATGAAAATCTTTTTCTGATGCTGTCATAAACAGAAGATGCTAATTACGATGTAAATGTCACTTGATGATTTAAACTTGTCAGTAAAATTAACAACTGTATTCCATATTTAACAGATGTGTTTTTTCTCTCAGTACTAGTTGTCAATCCTGCTGCCAGAGAGCCAGTGTTGAAGCCATCCTTACAAATGTGTAGGGATTTTTCTGTTGATCCAAATCAAATAATCCAAATAATTAGAATTTCATGTAAGTATAGCCTGTAAGTTCTTAACTATGTCTATTTCTACATGGATGCCTAGTTTCTGCTCATCTGTCTTCAGGATTGTTCTTTCACTGGCTTCTTTCAGCACCCTTCCTGATTTTTCATTATGTTCAAATGTTTGAATAGCCAGAAATCTGATATTCAGTAATTGATGTTCACAAGGGGGAAGGAAAAGTGCTCCTAACTGTAGAGCTCATCTAGACTAGTGAGGTAGACAGCCATTTAGGATAAAAATATGCACAGGATTGAATGCCTTGCCTTTTAGATTCATTAATCCTGATTAATGAATATAAAGAATGCATCCCCACAGAAAACTGCTCATTCAGGCTCTGATTACCTTTTCTGTGGGAGGCACTACATCAGGCCCTGCAGGGGAGATACTCCACAGGCTTTCTACATGAGCACCTGCCAGGTCCAAGGCTCCTGCTCTCTTCAAAAACATTTTGTTGTTGTGGTTGTTTGTCATTTTTGTTAGTAATTGTGTCTTCTCTTTCTGTTGCTGATATTTAAACTATGATTTTACTACTATTTCTAATGTAAAAAAAATTTTAGGACTATTTGTTCTTCCCCATTAGCACGATGGCGGAAAGTCAAGATGCTATTTTCTATCCTGAACACTAGGGGGAGATCTTGTTTTCTCTTGGAGAGTTTTAAATCCCAACTCCCTCAGCTAGCTCTGAATGCAATTTATTTTCTTTTTAGTACAAGCGAATCATGGTAAGATCTTTATATTTATCAAAACAGAATGAGGATACCATGATGACTAAATCTAATGTGGTTTCTTGGGCGAGATCCTGGGACAGAAAAAGGAAATTAGGAAAAACCTAAGGAAATCTGAATAAAGGATAGACTTTAGCTAATAATGTATCAATATTGGTTCATTAGTTTTGACAAATATATACTGATGTATGATGTTAGCAACAGGAGAAACGGCATAGGGTATGTGGGCACTCTGAACTTATTATCTTTGCAACTTTTCTGGAAATCTATACTATTCCAAAAATAAAAAGTTTATTTTAAAATACATTTTAAAAGAGTGAGACCAGAACCTAATTTCCATTACAGCTTTTCTTTTTCTTTTTTAATTTATATTTATTGTTGAGAGTATTACAGGTGTCTCATTCCCCCCCCCCAATTGACCCCCTCCACCTTGTTTCCACACCCTCCCCAGGCCTTCACCCCATTATTGACTGTGTCCTTGGGTTATGCATATATGCATATAACTTCTTTGATTAATCTCTTCCCACCCTCCACCCCCCTTCCCTCTTCCCTCTGAGATAGGACCATCTGTTGCATGTGTCAGTGTCTCTGGATCTATTTCGTTTGTAAGATTCTTTTGTTCACTAGCTTCTTCTTAAAGAAGACCCTTCAACACTTCCTGGGCTGCTGGTTTGATGAACTCCTTTAGCTTTTTCTTATCTGTGAAGCTCTTTATCTGACCTTCAGTTCTAAATGATAGCTTTGCTGGGTAGAGCAATGTTGGTTGTAGTTCCATGTTTTTCATCACTGAATATTTCTTGCCACTCCCTTCTGGCCTGCAAAATTTCTGTTGAGAAATCAGCTGACAGTCGTATGGGTGCCCCCTTGTAGGTAACTAACTGCTTTTGTCTTGCTGCTTTTAAGATTCTCTCTTTGTCTTTAACCTTTGGCATTTTAATGATGCTGTGTCTTGCTGTGGGCCTCTTGGGGTTCCTCTTGTTTGGGACTGTGCTTCCTGGAGTTGTAAGTCTATTTCTTTCCCCAGGTAGGGGAAATTTTCTTTCATTATTTTTTCAAATAGGTTTTCAATTTCTTGCTCTTTTTCTTCCCCTTCTGGCACCCCAATAATATGAATGCTGGGCCTCTTGAAGTTGTCCCAGAGGCTTCTTATACTATCTTCATATTTCTGGATTCTTTTTCCTTTTTGCTCTTCTGGTTGGGTGTTTTTTGTTTCCTCATGTTCAAAATTGCTGATTTGATTCTCAGTGTCCTCCACTCTGCTATTGGATTCCTTGTAAATTATTCTTCATTTCAGCTCGTGTAGCCTTCATTTCAAATTGGTACTTTATTTTGTCATTGATTTTTCTCAGTTGTTTTTGTAATACTCTTACTAATATCCTTGAGTATCCTTATAAAAAAATTTTTGAACTCTGTATCTGTTAGCTTGCTTGGTTCTATTTCATTTAGTTTCTTTTTTTAGAGGTTTCTTCTGTTCTTTCCTTTGTGACATGTTTCTTTGCCTTCACATTTTGGCTGCTTCCAGGTGTTTGTTTCTATGTATTAGGTAGAGCTGCTATGTCTCCTGGAATTTGTAGAGTGGCTTTGTGTAGTAGGTGTCCTGTAGNGCTTTGTGTAGGGTCCAGTGGCTCCGCCTCTCCAGTCACCTGAGCTGGGCCTTCTAGGTGCTCCCCTGTGTGGGCTGTGTGCACTGTCTTGTTGTAACTGAGCCTTGGTTGCTGTTGGCATCACTGGGAGGAACTGACCCCCCAGCCAATCGGCTGTGAGGACCAGTTGCAACTACAGCCAAAGAGCTGCT